CTGCAGAGGGAATGTCACAAGCTGTCGCAGGATGTCAATTTTGCGCGTTCATTCGAGCTCTTCACGATTGGCAGTGTCCGACCGTTCAAGAGTTACAAGAACCAGACCTCGACATGAAACACACAGCCGGCTCCCAACAACCTGCGAGCCGAGGCGCGTCAGCCTCCAGCCTCACAGAGCCGTCGCTCACGAGGTACGCCGATGGCGAAAGCCCACACCTGTGAAAGAACTTGGTCTCGTGCAGTGGCTCTGTGCTGCAGGCTTGTCAGCCACACAGAAATGAATGACATGGGATCCCCTTCGAAGCTCCTGGACCAGACCACGCTCGCCACCACGGGCAGAATGGGCACCATGGGCAGCAACGATATGCAGCGCGAGGTGCGGGGAACTACCCGGAAGCCCATCATGGACGGCATGAAGCCTTGGGGCGCAAAGAGCAAAGACAAAGCGTAGTGAAAAGACAAGAAGATCCAAAGGATACATTGAAGGCAGCCTGAGACCCTGGCACTGAGGCACTACCATCGGTCAACACCCACAAACTTGAGCCAAAGCTTCGGGAGATCAGGGCATGCGGGGCTCCTCTCACCTATTTCCATGGACTGCCCTACTACTACCGGATTCATGCGTAGATCCTTCACCAAGCAGGACGCACCGGGAGCCACACATACCCCTCTGCGCTTTGCGCCCCTCTTTCACCTGCTTGTTCGCTCAAGTCCGGGTTTTGTTGGAAGCTCTTCTGGCAGGTCCAATGCTTCCGTCACCTTTCCAGATCGATCTGCCATTTTGCATGCTGTCTTGCTACACGACCTGCCGCATTGATCCCGTGAGCTCGGAGACTGCGGGCATCTATGATATCTTGTCCTGACATTCCACGATCGCAAAGCCTTTTCGAAAGAGTTTTTGCACATCCCTTGGAGCAATCTCCGCTCCGGTGGCGTCAGAGCGTCTTGGCATGGTTACAGCCTGCCGACACGATCTCGAAAGAACCCTGTGTTGAAATAAGATGACGTTGAGGGCTAGGCAACTGGGCGTGGATCTTGGGCCTAGGTTGCTTACGGGTCATCGGAAACGTCCAGCTAATTCCGAAACTGCGAAGCTAAAGGCACCCAGTGGCACGGTGCGTTCAAGCTGAGGCGTCCCCTTTTCCGAAAGCTTTTAGCCTTTCATCCAAAGCTAGCCTTGACTCAAGTGCTGGGCCGCGCACGTCTGAGCATGATCAGGCCCCGCTCTCAAGTCAAAGAGACTGAAGCAGAACTGGGGGCATCAACATTCCAATTAGACGAGTAATCTTAAGGAGTGGCACCAAATCCCAGCGGCAAGCAGCCTAAGGCAGTACAGCTGGAAAGTCTGTGCATTGCGAATGTCTGTCACGGAAGTTTCCGCGCCTATCTTGGCAAAACGAGCTTCCCAAAACATCAGCTGTTTGCAGTGACTCGTGGACTCTCCTTGGCCTCCGACGCCGGCGCCGACGAGTCAGTTCCACCGCCCGCTGCTTAACATATCAAGCCTGGGTGCTTTTGTGCCCCACGGTTCGTTTGACAGACCCCGAGGCTCAACACATTCTCGCAGACTTTCTACAGGCTTTGGAGATCGTACAGCGTCCGGCGTGTGGCTGGAAAGCTGAGTGGTGGACCTCAGCTGTCCCAGCGGATCCCTGCAACTTTGCGCATCCTGTTAGAGCATTGACCCTGTAGGGCACTAAGCGTTGAAGTGGCAGCGTGATCAAGCAGGTCGGCTTGCACCTAGACTCTCCCGTAGCGTATGGCTACCGTCCAGCACCGCGGAGAGCAGGCATGCTGTGTCTATTCGGGAACCCTGATGGACACCACAGAGCCACCAGCTTCAGTGAGAGCCTCTCCAGCTACCATGTCATTGTCCCCGCACTTTTAAAACCTTCAACAGGCCGACTCACTTGCAGTGCCTTCGCTTGCCCGGGCCAAGCACAAGCACGAGCCCCAGCCGCTGTGTTCGTGGCAAGCCTCGAAATCGAGAAGCCCGAAGGCACAGAAGTCAAAGAAAACCCCAGCTCCTCGGCTTGCGCACTAGCAAATGATCGCGCAGACTCTGAGAGGATGCAGAGCTAGAAGGGTGGCAGCTGGACTCCTAAGTCGCAGCTTGCTTTGCGGAGGTTGCTTTGCAACGAACTGGCACTGGGGAATGAAAGAGGGCATACGGCTGGCAGCTGGCTGCGATGCGACGATCCGTCCGTCCTCTGCGGGCAAATTAAACTTGAAGCTGGGAGCTCCTAGAAGCTCCGTGAATGGGATAAAGAGTGTACGACGTGCCAAGTTGCAAAACTCAAGTGCACTGGCGGGCGTCGCAAGGGACATGCGAGGTGCTGTGCCGCCACTAGCTGAAAAGACCGGCATAATCTCCCTCGTTCGGATCCATGGCACTTCAAGTTGCTCCTTGTCGGGGTAGCGGCATTTCGTGCAAAATCATATAAAAACATTCAAGTGTGCGGAGCCAGCGCACTGCGTGGCACCTTTTGCAGGCCGGAAGCCAGCAAAGACATCAGGGGCTATCATCTATAAAAATATCGACATTTACATCCAGGTACGCAGCATGTGGTGTTGTTGCAAGGCTGCCCGGGGCAGCATATGTCAAACAGCTGTTCAAGGCCTTCCCCACATTGC